ATGGTGTCTCTACAGGCTTCATCTCTCCGTCAGACTGTTGCTTTCTCTCTCTCAGTGATTCGGAGCTTCTTCAGGCTTGATGATGTCAGCAGGTCTGCACTAATTCAAAGCACCAACACATTAAAACACAAACCACAGTGAAGCACCACAGACAGTTTCACCTACAGGGCAGAATCCAGGTCAATTGGGACGCTGTTTCTTAATCATCGCAATGGCAAAAGGTCGCTGGTTCGAGTTCCGGCTGGACCAGTTGTCATTTCTGTGTGGAGTTTGCATGTTCTCCCTGTGTTGGCGTGGGTTTCCCCCACAGTCCAAACACATTTGCTGTAGGGGAATTGATTAACTAAATTGGCCGTAGAGTATGAGTGTGTGTGTGAATGAGTGTCTATGGGGGTTTCCCAGTACTGGGTTGCAGCTAAAAGGGCATTCGCAGTGTAAAACATGCTGGAATAGCATATATATCATATAGCATACAGCATTCTGCTATGGCGATCCCTGATGAATAAAGGGACTAAGCTGGAGGAAAATGAATAGATGAATGAGTTCCTATATGAGTATAGGTCTTCCTGATCGCTGTGGTTTCTCACTCTCTTTACTGTGGTAAACATGAGATGCTCTGTCTCTGATGTATGTCGACTGCTCTGGCCTGGTATATTATATCACACTGGGTTATATAATACTACACTACAGCATGAGTTCAAAACATCATCCTCTGAACATTAAGGTGAGAGAGGCAATCAGGCTTTCAGTCACAAACACTATTTATTCTGCTCTATAATGAACTCTAAACATTATTTGAAGAGTTCAAATGCAAAAACCTCTAAGTGTCGTCTGAAATTTCCCCTGAAAATGAACCTTTTTCCCAGCCTCCTTTGTTAATGTTGTGTTATTTCACTCTAGAGACTATGAGAAGGACTCATTCTTTGCCATAAAAGTGATATTAGTGAACTTATACACAGCAGCTTGGTATAAATGCAAATTTTAGAAAAAAATCAGATGGCATTTAGAGGTTTTTGCATCTGAATCTTCATTTATACGTCATACATGAGTCGTTTCTGTCAGTGGTCATTCAACTCGTGCTTTTTTAACAATGCAAAACATCAGAGAACATTCACATAACGTTCAGGAAATGTTTGCAGAACGCTTCTTCAACTATTTCTGCAACGTTTGCGGTAATAAAAAATACAACTGTGTATTTTTATTTGCCTTGTTTTATATTAAAGAGAGCTCACCTAATCATGACATTTCGGTCATCATTTACATCATTCCTTTAATTAAAACTGATTTTATTTATTATGCTGAACCAAAATGAAGATAGTTTAAAGAATAGCTGATAACCATTAAATTTCACAGTATTCTACTATGGAAGTCAATGGTTGCAGGTGTTCAACATTCCTCAAATTATCTTCTTTGTATTCAACAGAAAAAAAACTTGAAACCACTTGAGGGTGTAAATAATGAGTATGGTTTTATTTTTGTGTGAACTGGCCCTTTAAGTAGACTATGTACATGGATTATATACAGGTACAGTATTTATTTTGATTAGAAATTAATAAATTAAAATAAACCCAAATGTATGAAATCTGTAATTATTGATCTTATATTTATTTTTTATACATAAGGTTGAATCTGCAAATACAAACAGATGGAGCGCATATAAATATAATTAATTCGCAATAACGCAGTGCACCATCATTATTATTATGATTACACCCTGTAGTGTAGTGCAGAATAATAACTGTAGTGCTCATCATGTATTGTAATGTGTGCGCGGCCGCGTGGACAGCAGGAGCGCGCTTGTGATTGGCCGCGGATCCCTGCGCGTTCACGCTCTAGTTGTGAGATTTGCGCGTCGCCGCTCGCTGGAGGAGAGGAAAGCGATAGTTGTCATACCGAGGGGCAAATAACTCATGGTTTCCAATGAATAACTGCCCCTGGAGCTCCACCGCCAGCTGACGACCTGCCCTGCGCGACGCACCCGGACGAGGAGCGACTCCCGCGCGATCCTGAGAGGTAAATCTGTGTGTTTGTTCGACGCGTGACGCGCCGCTGGAGCCCCGAACCGACCATCCGCGCCCGCCTCAGCCGCTCCAGGCCGCGGGACCGAGAGTGTGTGTTTGTTTGTGTGTTTGTATGTGTGTTTGTTTCAGAAAGCAGAGGTGTATGTTGCTGTTGATGCTGCCTTCAGGACTCCCTCTCACTCTCCCCCTGTGTGTGTGTGTGTGTGTGTGTGTGTGTGTGTGTGTGTGTGTGTGTGTGTGTGTGTGTGTGTGAGGCATTAATGACACACCGAGATCACGTTCATCTGGAGATTTAATGGTTTATTCCTAACAGCAACCTCATTCGCCAGTCTATGTGTGTGTGTTCGACAGCAGCTGCTCTTATATATACAAATCTATCTATCTATCTATCTATCTATCTATCTATCTATCTATCTATCTATCTATCTATCTATCTATCTATCTTGTTGACACTCTTATATCCATCCATTAATCTTTATCCAGTACTGTCTGTCCTTCATAACATCTAACTGCTCTCATTTGACCATCCATCAGTTCTTCCATCCATCCATCCATCCATCCATCCATCCATCCATCTGTATATTGTTGTATCTGTCCATCAGTTGTTTTATCCATCCATTCATCCACACTTCATTCTGTAAACTCTTGTATTCATCCATCCATCACACTGTTTAACCATCCATCTACTCTTCTGTCCTTCTCTCCGTCTGTCTTTCTGTCAGACTATCCCTCTATTCATTAATCCATTCCTCATTCTGTATATTGTTGTCCATGCATCCATCCATCCATCCATCCATCCATCCATCTATCCTTTTGTCTCTATCTCCATCTCACTGTTTGACCATCCCTCTGTCCATTAATCCATGTCTCATTCTGTATATTGTTCTTTATTCATCCATCCGTCCGTCTGTCCGTCCGTCCATCAATACATCCATCATACTGTTTAACCATCAATCTATTTTGCTGTCTTGCCCTCTTTCTGTCAGACTATCCCTCTATTTATTAATCCATTCCTCATTCTCTGTATTGTTGTCCATCCGTCCATCCATCCATCCATCCATCATACTGTTTAACCATTAATCTATTTTGCTGTCTGACCATCCATCTATCCTTCTGTCTCTCTCTATTTCTCTGTCTTTGTCTGACCATCCCTCTATCCATTAATCCATCCCTCATTCTGTATATTCTCATCCATCCATCCATCCGTCCATCCATTCCATTGGTGCTTTGTTCCATACATCCACCATCTGTCCTGTCCATTGGTCCATACATCCATCACTCTGTTGTTCCATCCATTATTTCATCCATCCATCCATCCATTTGTCCGTCTATCCATCATCTCTCTCCTATCTGCTCGTCCGTTCATCCATCCATCATTCCTGTCCATCATTTCATTCATCCATCCATCCATCCATTGGCCCATCTATCCGCCTTTCCATTGGTCCATCAATCCTGTCCAACAACCAATCCACCCGCCTGTCCAATGGTCCATCAATCCTGTCCATCCATCCATCCATCCATCTATCCTGTCGATCGGTCCATCTATCTGCCAGTCCATTGGTCCATCTGCCTGTCATCCATCCATCTATCCTGTCCATCGGTCCATCTATCTGCCAGTCCATTGGTCCATCTGCCTGTCCATCCATCCATCTATCCTGTCCATCGGCCCATCTATCTGCCACTCCATCCATCCATCCATCCTGTCCATCAGCCTGTCCATTGGTCTATCCATCCTGTCCATCGGCCCATCTATCTGCCAGTCCATCCATCCATCCTGTCCATCGGCCTGTCCATTGGTCCATCCATCCATCCATCCATCCATCCTGTCCATCGGCCCATCTATCTGCCAGTCCATCCATCCATCCTGTCCATCGGCCTGTCCATTGGTCCATCCATCCATCCATCTTGTCCATCGGCCCATCCATCCGCCTGTCCATCCATCCATCGGCCCATCCATCTGCCTGTCCATTGGTCCATCCATCCATCAGCCCATCCATTCGCCTGTCCATCGGTCCATCCTGTCCATCTTCCCATCCATCCATCCATCCATCCATTTGTCCATCCATCCATTTGCCTGTCCATCGGCCCATCCATCCACCTGTCCATTAGTCCATCCATCTTCCTGTTCTTTGGTCCATCAATCCTGTCTAACCGTCCATCAAACCTCTTCATAGGCCATCCGTCTGCCTGTCCATCCATCCATCTCTCCTGTCCATCAACCCATCAATCAGCCTATCGGCCCATCCATTAGTCCATCCATCCTCCTGTCCATTAGTCCATCCATCCATCCTGTCCATCAACTCATCCATCCATCCATCCTGTCCATCGACTCATCCATCCGCCTGTCCATTGGTCCATCAGTCCATTGTTCTATCTGTCCATTGTTCTGTGACTGTTTGTGTCTGCGAGTGTTTTTTTTCCATATTGTGAAGCAGTTCCTAGAGAATTTTAAATGAGAAAACAGTGGGCGTGACTTGTTTTTTCTCCTGCAAGCTGATTGGCTGCTGTAAAGTAGGCGTGTCATTCAGAATAATGGGGAAATGATTTGAGGAGAGTTATTACAACAGACTCCTCCCCCTTTACCGTTTCTGCTTGTCAAAACTGACAGCTGGAGGGGCGTGGTTAAGTATGTTAGCCCCGCCTACTACCTCAGAAAGCCCTAATCCTGTCCATCGGCCCTAATTTAACTGAAAACAAACAGAAAGTGCATTTTCGGATTTCAATTAAAGATTACTAGGGCAAACTGTAGTTTTGTCCCTAATGACAGATGAATTGTTCACCACAAAACTAGCAATGCAAGCTAACGACATGAATACGGTTAGTTTTGATTTGATGCATACTTTAACCTGCTGTGCTCCTCTGTGTGTGTGTGTTTCTGCAGGAGTGTCCAGCTCTTCAGGCATGGCTCAGCCCAGCTCGTGTGCTCAGGGCAGTAATGGTGTTGCAGACGAATCTCCCAACATGCTGGTCTACAGGAAGGTCAGTAATAGTCGCCTTATTCTTCTCCACGCTCAGCCGGGAAGCGTGTGATGGAGCTCTGGTTGGTTTTGTGTTGGAATAATCTGATGAGAAAAGCGTTATCTGCTTTAGTTTGTGGCTGTTAACTCCTACAATAGTCTTCATCATGCAATGAGGTGTAAGAAGTCGAGGTGCTCTGAGTCTGAGTGATTTCAGACATATATGTGGCACTGAGATCTTAAAGGTGGACATGAAACTCTGACAGATTAGATTTGTTCATATTTAACCCAATGTTTTCTTTTTTTTAACAACACATTATTTAGGGTAAGGCGACGCAGTGGCGTAGTAGGTAGTGTTGTCGCCTAACAGCAAGAAGGTCGCTGGGTCGCTAGTTCAAGCCTCGGCTCAGGTGGAGTTTCTGTGTGGAGTTTGCATGTTCTCCCTGCGTTCTTGTGGGTTTCCTCTGGGTGCTCCAAAGACATGAGATACAGGTGAATTGGGTAGACTAAATTGTCTGTAGTGTATGAGTGTGTGTGTGAATGTGTGTTTTTGTTTCCAGAGATGGGTTGCGGCTGGAAGGGCATCCGCTGCATACAAACTTGCTGGATAAGTTGGCGGTTCATTCCGCTGTGGCGACCCCGGATTAATAAAGGGACTAAGCTGACAAGAAAATGAATGAATGAATGAATGAATGAATTATTTAGGGTAAAAAAAAAAATCTGAATTGTGGGATGTAAAACAAAATGTAAGTTTAAGGAAACAGTTTGTGAGTTTATAACTCAATCCAAAAATCCATAAATTTTAAAAATATTACAATTACTCATTTACAATATTGCAAGTAATATTTTCAATTTAATGAAATAAACACCAGTGTACAGTCAAAACAAGTTGTTCTCGGTTATTTAAATAATATTAATATTATTTAATAATAAATAAGTAATATTAATAAATAATAGTACTTAATAAAATATGGACAAACCCAACATTGGATTATTTTTTTAAATTAATTTTAAAGTGCACTTTTTAACCAATGATTGTGTTTGTTCATATTTGACCCAATTCTTGCAACAACCCAGCATGTTTTGGCTGTTTTCCTTTACATTTACTTTTTTATCACATTTATAGGACCAAATAAAAATATTACACACTGATTAATATCTGGGTCAGAACAGCAAGAGAATGCAAGCATCATCATCGTCATCATCATCATCATCATCATCGTCATCATCATCATCATCATCATCATCATCTCCATTGTCAACCTGTCATATTTATTACAATTCATCAAATTACAATTGCATAACAGTTTCTGTCATTATGAGGTGCCACTAGTAGCAGACCATCAGCGCAGAGCTTTAAAGAGACACAAGCTCTATTTACCTTTGCATGATTGTGATGTGGTGGCTCAGTGGTTAGCACTATGGCCTCACAGCAAGAAGGTCTCTGGTTCGAGTCCCAGCTGGGCCAGTTGGCGTTTCTGTGTGGAGTTTGCATGTTCTCTCAATGTTGGTGTGGGTTTCCTCCGGGTGCTCCGGTTTCCCTCACAGTCCAAACACATGCGCTATAGGGGAATTGATGAACTAAAAAATTAGCTGTAGTGTATGAGTGTGAATGTGAGTGGGTGTTTCGCAGTACTGGGTTGCAGCTGGAAGGGCATCGGCTTTGTAAAACATAAGCAGGAATAGTTGGCGGTTCATTCCACTTTGTTGATCTGTGAAATAGAGACTAAGCTGAAGGAAAATGAATGAATAATTGTGATGTTTTCTGGTTTGTTTGTTCAGGAAATCTGTATTGTATGAATAGAGGTGATTAGAGGTAAAGTCTAGAAGGGATACAGCTGCGCATACTCGCACTCAATCAATAATAATAAATGTTAACAAAAAAGTGCAAGGTAAAAAGTAATCGAGGCTGCGATATCTGCTACCAGATCTATTTTCAGCTGTCACACACCCACATGATGGTTATACGCTGTAGTAATTTATAGTCAATAATACAGTGACACAAGTAGGGATGCAACGATTATATATTTTGGTTGTGCGATTATAGTCTGAGGAATAATCATGGTTATCACGATTATTATGCATTTATTTCAAAACACTGCTAGTTTAGAAAAATCACATGAAAACTCTTTATATTTTAAAATGTTATTTATTACTGCTCAGTAACCAAATAATATGGCACAAAATATAGTCCATTTCTCTTTAGGCTTAAAAACACATGAAAAAAGTTGGCATTTAAACATAAATAATAATTTTACACTGAAAATAAATGTCAATAAAGAAAATAAAAAATAAAATGTAAATACATTTAAAATAAATAACTAATTAATTAATTAATTTTACTAAATAAAATAAATTATATTACAATAAATAATTAAAAAAATTAATATAAAAAATAAACTAAAATAAATAAATGTAAATAAATTAAAAATGAATGATAAAAGTTGGCATTTAAACATAAATAATAATTTTACACTGAAAATAAATGTCAATAAAGAAAATAAAATGTAAATAAATTTAAAATAATTAATTAATTAATTAATTTTACTAAATAAAATAAAATATATGACAATAAATAATAAAAAAAGAAATTAATATAAATAACAAACTAAAAATAAATAAATTAAATGTAAATAAATTAAAAATGAATGAAAAAAGTTGGCATTTAAACATAAATAATAATTTTACACTGAAAATAAATGTCAATAAAGAAAAAATAAAATAAAATTTAAATAAATTTAAAATAATAATAATTAATTAATTAATTTTTAATAAATAAAATAAAATAAATTACAATAAATGAATATTTTTTAAATAAATTATTATAAATTAATACATTAAAATAAATTTATTAAATGTAAATAAATTAAAAATAAATGAAAAAATATATAAATACAAGTTTTTTAAATAAATAAATAAATTTAAAATAAATAAATAAATAATTAAAAAAAATAAACAATAAAATTCAAATAAATACATAAAATAAATCAAATTAAAAATCGATAAACAAATAAATAAATAAATAAATAAGTAGTATTTGTCTAATGTAAATTTGTTAAATATTAGGTAAGTATTTCTCTTTTACAGTGCAGAAATGTATTCAAAGGCGGCTGAACCTTTTGATCAACTATATAACAAAATCACTTAGTGTAGGGCGCTCGCGGCATTCTTTCAACTAGTAGGTGCGTCTGGAAAGCACGAGTCCCTTGCTCTATATATGCAAGCCACACACCTCCATTGGAAATAACGAACTTGCAAAATACACGATATGTGACTGGCCCTTAGGTAATCGCTTCAGCCATAGTTAATGCAGTGTGCATGGTGTACAGTACAAGCTCATAACTTCAAACTAGCGCTCAGTTGGCATCACTTTAAGTTGCAGCAGTCTTGTTCCATGCAGGAACACAGTGTTGAGAAGCATTCACGATTAATTAACCGTGTCGAATTAAAGCACGGTTAATAGTGCAATCGGTTAATCGTTGCATCCCTAGACACAAGCATTCTGACAATGACACCTCCAATGGAGATCAGAATGTTGCACAATCAGCTGAAATGTTGGTTATGTATGGGCGAGATATATTGCATCACCAGAAATGATTGAGGTCGTGTCCATTTGTGATAATAAGTTGATATATTGATTTTTGTGCCAGGCCTAATGAGTTGTTCTGATTATTTGAATCAGTTTTTCCTGTAATAAAGGGCAGTATAAAGACTTCAGGGAGGTCGACTGGCTTATGTTGAGTTTTCCATTTTCAGGCTTGAATATTTGATGCTTTAAAAGGATGATTTTAGAGACTCTAGCAGCTTTCATATGGAAAAAAAATCCCTCCTGAGGCTCTTCGTCTCTAAACTTTTCTTTTGAAGCATTTCTGCAAACTTCCCTCTGCATATTTCTTCTCATTTTTGCTGGTGTATTTCAGAAATTATTTCAAGAACGCGAGTAGTAAACGCCTAAAGTTCCTCACAAAAGTCTTGTTGCCTATGCAAGTTTTAGGAATATCAAATAATAAGTTGACTTCTAGTTGATGATTTGGCATCGGAAGTGTCTTATATGAAAGGCAAATGCGTCTAGATGACGCTTATTTGAGCACAATAAAATCTGATCATGCCTTTAATGATTTGATTCGGACAGTGCGGTCTGACTCTGCTTAGACTAAAGTCTCATCACTGAACAGAAATAATGTCCAGTATAGAATATAAAGTCCTGCTGCAGTGGAGACAGAATGAATATTGTGTCTGACTCCATCATGAGCTTGGAGGACTGCATCCATACATCTCTGACATGACTCACATCACTGATTAATAAAGTCATCTGGAATGAAGAAGAAAGCCTTCCTGCAGGACTCCCAGAGCTCATCAAGACTCTTTGTGTTCATCTTCAACGCCTCCTCCTACATCTTACCCCAGACATGCTCAATCATGTTCATGTCTGGTGACTGGGCTGCCCAATCCTGGAGCAGCTTGACCTTCTTTGCTTTCAGGAGCTTTGATGTGGAGGCTGAAGTATGAGCAGGAGCGCTATCCTGCTGGAGAATTGTCCCTCTCCTGTGGTTTGTAATGTAATGGGCAGCACAAATGTCTTGATACCTCTGGCTGTTGCTTTTGCAGATCTCTCGCACGCCCCCATACTGAATGTAACCCCAAACCATGACTTTTTCTTCACCAAACTTGACTGATGTCTGTGAGAATCTTGACTCCATGCTGGTTCCAGTACGTCTTCTGCAGTGGTGATGATTGGGATGCAGATCAACAGATGATTCATCTGAAAATTCAACCTTCTGCCACTTTTCCAAGATCAACTAGATGTCAGGTTATTATTTGTTGCTCTTACAACCGAGATCAAGACAAGACTTTTGTCAGGGAGTGTAGTACACCTAAAAGGCTGTTTTAAGTCTAGAAGGGATACAGCTGCAGCCGGACGTCAAGGAGAATTGTTTACGCTATTAAAATAATACAATTGCCGATCAACAACGAGTGTATTTACATTACTGTGAGGTCTGGGGTTGAAGTAGATGTTAATAA